ATATCAATGGGGTTGTTATCTTGGATTAATACCGGATTGAAGAATAAAGTAGGAGATCAAATGGGTCAATGCAGGTTGTGTACAGCATGACCTCCACCAGCTTTTTAAACAATTTCTCCCAAACCACATGGTACTTGGAGTTGAAAATTTGCAGATAAGCTCCTCAATTAGTCCCATAAACATCAATATGACCTAATACCTATTACATGGTTATTCGCAAGATTGACCTAATACCCATTACCATAAATGCTCAAAACAAATACTGCTGCAGAATGACCTTCGGCCTATCAAATCTCCGTAACTCCATGGATAAGACGAGTTTTTGTATAAAAGTTGAGGTAACCCAATTCTCCACAAGTTTATATGAAGAGAAAATCCATCAAAATTTGGCAAAACAGCAAGGGAAAGTGATGGTACATGATGATTCGAACTCCCAAGGGAAAACCATTAATATTTCCCCCAACATCACTATAACTAACTTGACCTTTGATAAAAGAAAATGGGGCAAAAAGTTATTTTTCACCTTTAGATGATCTGAGATTTTGGGTTTCCATCCATGTTTAATCTGGCCTCCATAAATATCCCAAGCCTAGATCATTTTAAGGGGGGTTAGAATTTTAGAGAGAGGTTGATGAGAGCTTGAGGCATAGCATTCCTTGTCTAGCAAGCCTAGAGTTCTAGTTAGAGAAAACCCGTTGAATCTAACCCTAACCAACCCTAATATCAGTAAAACAAACCCCAAATGACTCAAATTCTTACTAGTTCTTGGACCAAACCCTAATCCACAGCACTTTGGCTTAAGTAAAGGACACATGTCCAGCACAAGCTGATATTCATGGGGCTCAAGGGGTAAGGCTCATATTTGTTACCTTAGGAGATCGACTGTGATTTCCTTACTTCCTCACTCCAATTTACTTTTTGGAGTGTGATCATGGAATCCACTGGCATCATATTAGTCAGGGTCTAAGAGGGCTCAACATATACAAACAAAAGGGAACTCCCAAAGCCCAATTGTAATTACTTTATTGAAGTTATTGCTCTTCTGTGCTGCATCTCTCTGCTTTTTGGAATCATCAACATACGCACACAAAAGGCACAAACAGAAATCTAATGAGTTAACCTCAAAAGAAGATGAATATAAGCATTCTACCAGTCTAAGATGCTAAAAATAAAATAACATAATTGGGACATTTCCTTCAAAATGTACACAATAAAGATAGGGATCAATCCATGCCCTAATCTTACCATGCCAATCCTTTTCTTCATGTTTGGATGGTATCGGAGCTTTTCAATTGGTCTAAAATAACAGGACAAAAAACCCTTAAAACACAACTTTTTGCAGCATTAATTATCTCAATGAAACAAAAATTGGGGTCTACCCTTTAACTTCTACAACATCACCGGGTTTTAAACTTGCTAAATACTGGCTCATTTTGCCTTCTGGGTAAACCTGCAAAAGAAGAAAAAAGACAATATGAGCACTCATACCGCGAAGATTGTTTATGCAAGTCATCCTAATGACAAATAACACATAATTGATGCATAAATGCTGTATCTTAAAAAGATAATGACTATATTTGGTAATAAGAACCCAAAATCATCTACTCCATTCAAGGAATAGGAGAATGTTTAAAAGAGAAGAGACAAATTCATGGGATGGGCACTCGAGATAGCTGTATCATAAATGCGCATCAGTAATCTGGGGCCTGGAAGTCCACACGAATGAAAGATCTGAGTATCAAACAACTGTGGGGCAGAGAAAACCCCCAACCATCCTCTCATTTTGATGACAATTGTCCAATCTAGCATCTCCAGAAAAGCTCTAGTGCCCCAAGTTACCCAAACAAGAAAACTATTATATTGTCCAATCAAATGCAGAAATATATTATATTCTAGTTGTATCATTAGATAAATGTATCATATAGTACAGAATTACATATTATAATGCCATTTATTAGAGTTAGTATTCAATAATATACATTAAAGTCTACAACTCAATGACCTTATGACTTGTAATGGCATAAAGCCAAAATATCCCTAAACACCCAGCTGACGGCCATTATATATCTCCTTTCAGACAAAAAAACTTACTCAACAGTGGCCCCTAGCATAATTGAGTTCAAGGATTCAATTAATTTTGTAAATTAAAGCCAAATTTACGGATTCTGGCTCTTTTCGCTTCATTGTACTCGTTTTGTTACCATACTCGTTTTGTTACTATTCAATATTTGTTTCATTGAGATAACTCTTCAGTTTCACTGCTAATGTCATGGTTCTCACCAAAAAGGGAAAGCTAAAGCATTACGCTAGAGGAGACTAACTGGAAATTCTATGCTATCATAAGCCACTCCAGGAGCTCACAAAGGAAAAGATAACACTCGATTTGATGAGGATAATAAAGTGCAGTAGTCCATGGTACCCTTGTTGAAGGGCTGCATGGGAAACATAAGAATAAGCAGAAAACAATTGCAATTGGATTAAAGAAAACAAATAAATCCTTAACACATCGTAGATTAGAAGGATAATGGGTTTTGTGTCTAACCATAATGGGAGCCTTTATTCAGGTTGCAACAGTTTAGACTTTACAAAGATTCTTCACAAAATGAGTATATTTTACAATCAAAGCCAATGATTTAAGCTATGTTTTATAGATACTTAATTATGGTTAGTGTACTTGAGTCATGTCATGTTTACCAGGTAATCCTAGGATACTTGAAAGTAGCAAAACTATATAAATCATAACATGAATAAAATATAATATTATGCAGTACGATATGTAAATACACATATCAATATTTTGGATGAATATGAGTATGCATTAGATAGAATTATTTGCATCCTTATCTATGTCCTGGACTTTGAGAAGTGCAGATTCATATTTGTCTCTCTGTATCCGTATCCATAAACGTATACACAAAAACCTAGGGATTTGGGGAATGGAGACCTCATAGAGATGATCTAACGATAGAAAATCCGAGGGCTTCAAGAGGCTACTACTGTTTTGTGCTGAGTTGCATAATTTCCTAAAACAAAACAGACCTTGGAAGTCTTACGTGGAATCAGTGATTTAAAACTCGCCAAGTCTGACTCGAACTCCCCCAAGTTAATCAGATTCAGGAGACTGCCGAGACTGGAGGAAAAACCTTGGGAACTGGCCGAATCTTGCCAGTTCCAAATGTTGTTTGGTTAATTTTGTTTAAGACCCAGTCAAGTCTCACTAGGACTCTGCCAGGTTGAGTTGCATGACTCAGGCTTGGGAACCTAGCAAGACCCGACCAGAGTAGATGATTTAGAACACCGCATGAAATTGTGTCAGCTTCTGGGTTTTTATCAGGTTGTCCTAGGTATGGATGCCAGTAGAGAAGTAATCGTTTTTTTCAAGAGTGAATACATTTTTATTTCTACTATGTTGTTTGGTTAATTTTGCCAATTCCAAAAGTTGTTTGGTTAATTTTGTTTAAGACACTAGGACTCTGCCAGGTCGAGTTGCATGACTCAGGCTTGGGAACCTAGCAAGACCCGACCAGAGTAGATGGTGTAGAACACCGCATGAAATTGTGTCAGCTTCTGGGTTTTTATCAGGTTGTCCTAGGTATGGATGCCAGTAGAGAAGTAATCATTTTTTTCTAGAGTGAATAAATTTTTATTTCTACTATAATCAAGTTTTCAGCTTAGACATGGTGCATGGCGCTGTTTAAAGAAACTTTTGTTTAACACTTAGAAGGATCGTCACAAAAATCACAAGTATGGTGACAACACAGATGAGAAGTGGTGATGACTAGTATTACCTAGTCTGTAGGGGGTGAAGTGGCCAAGCATTTGGTTTGCTATACTGCATGATAACTCAACAAAGAAATTATGGCAGCCAGTATTGCAAAGACCAAGAAGAAGATATGCAGGACGAAAAGGGAAGCTCATGCCCCCGGATGGCAAGATTAATCTGCATTGCCCTAACTTTCCATGCTACACAGAATGTCTGTCTTTGTTTCACATGCTAATTTCAATGCTAAGAAAGTTTGAGAAAACATAACAGGATTTCTCATGGATTCTGGCCTTCTGGGAGAGGGTGTTTGCAGAACTATACTAAAAACAGTCTGGTACAGTTTATTTAGTCAAATGGGATGAGTTTCATAGACTGATGACCCAATAGGAATTTTGGAACTGGAAAGATAAAAAGGGTGAACCAAGTATGACTAGTAAAATCTCTTTCATTTTTTCTTTTTAAAAAATAAGATTACTAATCAAATAATGGTCAATGTTGTTTGGCTAGCAAGGACATGAGTTATGAAGGATATTGTTTTGGAGGAACAAATTACTAAGAACATGAGTTATGAAGGATATTGTTTTGGAGGAACAAATTACTAACTCATAATTTTAGAGCAGAAGGAAGGGATGTGCAGCTTTATTGAGAGAGTTGACTATAATGAGGCCAAGCTGTATGAGTTTTGAAAATGGTTTCATACAATGTTCGGATTTTGGAAATGAGAAAGACATAGCTCTTGGAATATTGTCTGGTGTAGGACCACCTTGGGTATGTGATTCTCTGAAATGAAGACTGTTGCCAAAAATAAAGATGTTAGCATCCCAAGTATTATGAAGAGAATTATGAGTGCCAACTGGATACCATAACTGAGAAGACTTAAAGAGTTTATCGAGTTGCATAAGTTCATATATGTGAGTCTATGAAGGAGCATCAGGTAAGAAGCTGAAAGAAACTCAATACAGCTTTACATTTAGATACATGTATGAGAGCATTTCTAAGGGCGTCGGTGACTAAAATATCATGCAAGATAACTCATCATAGGGTATCATTTTCTTTTCTTTTTCTTTTTTTTTCTTTTTTTTTGTTTATATGAGGGTCCCAAAGGAAGGCTGAAGAATGGCAGACTCAGTACCACATCAGACGTGTCTACCTTTTCTGCACTTCAACTAAATTGGAAGGTGACTCAATGCAGCAACCACCACATGAAATCTGTAAAAGTGAAAGTGAAAGACTAGGATTGCAGGGTTCTCTAGTATCTATTATTTCCTTTTATTGTAGGGTTCTGTTCTTCTTTTTTTTATTGTTATTACAGGGTTGTCTATAACCTTTAGTGATTAGGATTTATGATAATTATTGCAGTCTATTCCCCTAAATAAAATCATCTTACTTTGAAAATTACCCAGAAAGGTCCAGAATATTCTGTCGTCACAAAACAATATAAGCAGTAAGGATTGCATTACATGGAAGAATGTCAAGTAAGAAATGTATATACAAAATTCAATTTTAACACGGCGCACATACCTTTACCATTAAGTCAAAGTAACCCTTGGAATCAGGATCTGAAATGGGGGTGTACCTAAAACAGAAAAGAAGAAATAAATCAGGACTTTCAAAAAATTATGGAAAATCACAACTCAAGCATGTTTTGAAAGATTGATATGCCATACTTCCATTTGGCAATATAGAAATATTTATCCTGATGTATTTTGCACAGATCATGGGAAATCAATGCAAAAAGATTCAAAACTATGAAAGAATTTGGAAATAAAGGACTACATATTAACTCTACATACTGAATAGGAAACATAGTATGCATTATAATAAATCGATCAATGAATGGAGAAAGAGAGGACTAACACAACATTGTATCTCCACTTGACCGATTAATACTGAAGATTAAAGGGGTCACCTTGGAGATTTCAAAACTACGGCACTTTCCAGAAGAGACTAAATATATTATAGTATTCAAAGCCAAAGGTTATCAAAACAAAAACATGTAGTAGTGAGAAAGGGCAGATCAGCCTCCAACGACGAGACACTGCCAATTGATTAGATATCACTGGAGCTACCTTTAGAGAAAAGAAAAGAAAACAGGACAAAAGTCTGGAATGCTATATCAGATCAAAAGCTTCATAAACCCAAATACTATTCTTACAATAATACTAACAAAAGCATTCGATTTAGCTGTACACTACATAAAGATTAATATATTAAACCAAAAGCAACATTATCTTATTCACCACAAGAACTTTTATGTGCACTGAGGCCTCTGCATTTATTCCTTTATTCTCTAAAGGCCAAGTGAGATCAATACAATTTGACCAATAAAAATAAAAAGAAAACAAAATGCCTACTATCAGCTACAAATTCGTGAGCTAGTTACGGAAGCGCCATTCCTAGTGAATGATCTTGTTCCTAGTACACGGTTTTTTGCTTGTTGATCCTCCTTGGGAGCATGCTCCTGAATGTTTATGATCCTGATCGCATTTAGCATGGGATCTCAATGCCATTTAATATGGGAATGTGATCCATACTGTTATTAGATACATGATACTCTTTTTTAAATTGATATACGAATAAACAGACTGTCAATTATAAAGATGGCTATATTCAGTAGCCCACTATACTACAGTAGTGTGTGTCTATAGATGCTAATTATATATCTTATATTAGTAGGAGATCGGAGACAAACCTCAAGGTTTCATGAGCACCATTGAAGGACAATGGTAGCTCATTGATAAATTGCAGTTGCCTTTATTGTCATGGCCCTACAATCTCAATTATTAAGGAACTCTCTCACTATGGAATTTCCATTGTGCATGTGTATATGATATTAAAAAATGGATCATTTGGTTTTGAATTTTTTACAATTTCACCCAATTTTATAAGTGCATATATAATATATGATATATATAACATATGTTTTAGAGTGCTCTCTGACATTTGTAATATATAAAGTTCATAATTTATAAATATAGGGGCTGTCCCAGACCAGCAATCCCATGCACTCCCAAGGGAGGGAACTCTAGGCAGGGACAATTCCCGCCTTACTCCTGCTCCCAACGACTATGCTTCAAATAAAAGCAAATATGGCCATGCTAACTTAAAGCGCCAAGGGCAGTGAGCTTATGACTTGTCCAATAGCCGGCCATTAATAACGATCAAGATCCAAAAATTTAGCAATCAAAATGATCATCAAACAAAAATCTAATGAGCTAACTCACCCAAAAAATAAAAAATAAAAATACGCACAAATGGTTTTAGAAAAGTTGAAAATAACATACAAAGTCAACAAACAAAACCTCCAATGTAGACTAAACTGCTAAGCATACATTATAGCTTTTTCAGGAAAACTTACGGGCGGATAACATATTTCGTCTTTCCTTCACTGTCTTTGCCAAATGGAGCTCTGCAAGCAGCATGAGTTATCTTTATGAGAAAAGGAGAAAAGTGGAAGTATAGACTTGCTTAATCACAAAACAAGTGAGTAAACCTCTTGTAAGGAAAAAAAAATGAATTGCAACATACCTTGTAAGGATGCATGAAGCAACACGAAGGCCTAAACTTAAACTATGGTCGAAGGAAAACCTGCAATTTGTGTGAAACAAATAATTTAAATGGACCACATGAGAGAGCCAATTCTGACAGAAAGACGAAAAGGACAAGAAAATTACAGAAGATGAATAAGAAAGAGATTAATATGAGAAGGATAACTAATTCCAATCCCACAGACATCTCTAATAGGTTGCAGTTATAAGCTATAGGGATTTCCCATACTCACAGTTATCTTCAGCATTAGGTATCATTAAAAAAAAAAAGGAATGCAAAGCTCAGAGAATGAATTGCATACAGAAAGGATCATCCCTAGAAGCTAGAGGTCACTCACATTCCATGTCACCATATTGTTCAAGATGTGGGTAAGTGACATGCCATATTTAATCGAAAAGACAAGCAAAAATGGTTTAAGCATAGATCAAGCAGAGCCTTGATTGACTGAGCATTACAGTTACCAAAAATTCTATTAAGGATCCAGATGATCTGAACAACAACTAAAGGAAAGTATTAGAGAGAATTTCTTGGTTAAACCTTAGTTCCTGGACATGCTTCAAGAACGTATGAAGGAATGAAAGTAGGAGTGTGATCTGACATGATTATCCCATGGGAACCACCAAGAGAGTATTAGTTTTGGTAGTGGATATGCTACCCATTAATATTCTAATAGTACTACTTCCTTTAACCATTCCTACTTCTTCCCCTTTACATGCTGCTTTGTTGTCCTTCTAGCAACCCCTTTCTTTTTCCACATACTGAATATTGAACAATTCCACAGAATCCTCCACCCTATTGTTAAGTAAGTTTGTAGTTAAGTAACATTTTTTAATACTTTACAACTTACACAACAAACTAATCATGAATATGACAATCTTAAACAAAGTTCATTTATATATATTTCTAACAGAAGGATACCTGACACCCATGAGCATTGGACTCAAAAAATGTGATTGCAATAAAGAAGAGTTTTGTGCAATGCATTTCAAGTTTGACAACCTCAAAAGAAAATTAATATATTTATATTTAAGCAAATAGTTCTTCATAAAAAAGAAAAATGAAAACTTTTCAAACAAAAGATTTAGTTAATCATCAGACAAAGAGTACTACATAATTTACCTAAATAAATGGGTGTTAGGGCTAACTTTTGCCTTTTCTAGCAACTTGAATTGAATCCACTTCTCTGGGTTGAGTGCTGCAAAACAAGCACATTCAATAAGAGATTCATGAAGAGAAAACAGTGTACCAAAGATTCTGATAACTATGCCATGGAATGTCCAGCATAAACTCTAAAAGCAGAAAAAGTCATAAGGTTAAACAAGTGATAGATGATCAATTGGGGAGTTTTCGTCGGAACCACCGTTTCTAGTGGGTATTTGAGGTGGTATGTCTTACTTTTATAGGTTAAGGTTGACGCCTGATAAACTTTTTTCAGAATTAGCCGAGGAGTTTGCCATTTGGGTCAAAAGCAGAATTATTAGACCACGTATAAAAGGCTCTTGAGGAGGGCAAGTCAAACAACTCATCCTGCTGGATAAAAGCTTCAAAGCGAGGCATACAAGCTGAAAGATTAGGGGAAGAGGAAGACTCGCTAGACGACCTAATTATATTAACATCCCCCCAATACACCACGGAGTATTAAAACGAGAAAAAACTCCAGATAATTCATCAAAAAAAGCTCTATACCCAACAGAATTTGAACCATACACATTAGTTAAAAGCCCATTGAAATTGTCTAAGGGACCCAAAAATAACACATATACATGTCTTTCAAAAATAACAAAATCAACACTATGAAGCACTCTGGGATCCCACAAAATCAATCAACCAACCGACGAGCCAGAAGAATCAGAACCCACAAAATTCAAAGGTCTCCTACCCCACACTTCTCTGGCTAACTGAAAATTCGAGAACACCAGTTTGGTTTCTTGAAGCAAAATGACATCTGGTTTTTCCACACCAAAGAAAAACAAGTCGTCTCCTTTTCGTCTAACACTGTTTAGACCCCGAACATTCCAGCAAACGAGATTCATTCAGAAACATAGCCAGCACCATGCCTGGTGGTTGTTGAAGAACCGGCACACATGGTCACACAAGGCTCAGAGTGTGCATGAGTAGAAGATATGCAATCATCCTTTTGACATACCAGGTTGTCCAATTCCCTTTGACTTCGTTCACCTACCAACACGACCAACCGGGCTTGCCTTCCCGCCGAGAACTGGATTTCCAGTTTTCCTAGGCCTACATCCCTTGGTCCACGGATTAGCAAAGCGGGCCGATTAGATGAATTGATTCCGGGGTATGCCTGTCAAGGTATGCAGGGCAATAAGGCAAGCAAGACTGCAGGAAGAGAAGAACTATGCAAGAGGTGCTGCCTGCTGTCCATAAGGCTAGGAAGGCGAGAGCAAAAATGAGGAGTAATGATAAGTCAACAATTGAAAATCTTGAAAATAGACGGTCCAGATAATGTGTTACAAAATGCACTATTTTTAGGAGTTGAAATCCTTTTTCTTCATTTTCATATATCTTGTGGTCGAGATGATCAATTGGAAGATTTTCCAGTGTCGGACCAACCTTTTCTAGTGGGTTTTTGATGTGCGCCTCACTTTTATAGTATAAGGTTGATGCCTTGTGCAATCTTTCCATATGCACATGTGTGTGTGCATGTGTATATAAATATCAATTACGAATCTGCCCGTACACATGTTAAAATACAACTCTTAATGATACGTCAATATCTCAAGAACTACCACAAACAAAAGTAGCATGTAGGAAAGTGCCAAACAATCCTTAACTCAAGACTTCCCCTCAAATTTAAACTAAGATATCAAACAATGCCAATCTCCATTTTCAGTGTTTATTTTAGGCTGTGCCACCACTTTTATGAGAATATCTTCCATATAAGTCTTCACAAAAGATGTTGGAACTCGGAATGGATATCAAGCTCATGGTAAAATAATTATCTGAATTGAATAGTTATATGGAAGGGATATCAAGCCCAAAGGTAATGTTTAAGCCACATAATGTCATGCCATATCCCTCCTTGTATCGGGGCAACCGACCCAATCCACACTACCATATGCACCCAACTCTAGTGAACATATACAAGAACAACAGTGATTGATTCGGCCAAGTAATTCAAAGCAAAATTCAAAAAAGTTATTCTAAGACTTAGGATTTATTAGAGGCTACTCAGCTTGTATGCACCCAAGTCTTGTTGGGTATTTATGGCCATTAAAGGCCTTATGAGAGCTTGTAATCAATATTAATTATAGTGGAACAATGAACTCCAGTAGAAGTATAGTCCAGAGGGACCGAAATAAGCAAATGCTATTTGTTAATACTCAGACTAAGCTTAACGCGCTAAGCCAGTCGAGTTGGAAAACCCTTAATTACTGGGCATAGAGCACAACCGAGGAAGGTTAGCTGATCTCTTGTGAGGTCACAGTAGTGAGTCATGGGACTGTGTGATCCTTATGCATGATGGTATGCCTGTAGAGACGAAGGCCAAAGCCTCATCATTGAACCATCACACGGCATTGAACCATCACACGGCATGCACATATGATAGCCGTATTGAGACAAAGAGTCACCATTGAGGATGATATGTGTACATGTGCCATAGATGACCCCTATGTAACATAAAGTTGTGGTTGCACCAGGTCTATGTGACTTTGGACTTATCTCTAGCGGAGAACTTGTAATCCATAGACTGGGATTGTATCTCCTCACCTATTAGATGATTTTGGTAGCTCAATCATGAACCTCTGCGATGGTCTATGGATCATGAGAACTGCTAGGTCAGTTTGTGAAAGTGAGTGTGCATTATAGTCCACAATAGAAGATGGAGTGCTTCGACAAATTAATAATTCATTGACCTAGTTGGATCCAAATCCCATCAAAATTATTTAGAATTAATTATTTTGATGTTAAAATATTTTTAGATTAATAGTTTGAATTTTTAGAAGTCTCTGGATATTTTATTTTAAATGAAATTATAAATAGAGAGAAATTGAATTTTTACTATTTTAAATATTCAAAGAGAAAAATAAAATAATTAATCTTTTCTAAAAATCATTTTACTATTTTATAAACACATAATATATGGGGGCACATAGTGGTGTGTGGGGCCCACTAGAGGCCCCTTATGTTGCACGGATTCTTTCCTATTTTGCAAGCTTGTAAAACTAGCAATTCAATCAATTAAGAGAAAAGGGAAAGTTTGGAAATTAATTTAATTTTTCAAGTTTAAGAATATTTAAGAGATAATATGGATATAAAAAGTATATCTTATATATTTTTCATATTTTATTTATTTGAAGGGATTAGGTTAAAGAAGCTGAAGGATAAGGTTCTAGTATCTTCCCTTTAATCATCATGGCTGATCTAAGGGTTGTATGGCTAAGATATCTCAACCCACAGGTCTCCTTTGATCAGTGGTCTGGATCTTTTCTCTATAAAGATGGCTAACCCTAAGAAACCCTAACCTTAGAGAAAATCTATAAATAGGCACCATAGCGGTCCTAATTCTCTACATGTTAAGCTCTCTCTCTCTCCCTCTCTAGGTGGAACGCCACCCTCTCTCAATCTCTAGCTTGATCTCTCATCTCTCTCTCCTGCTTAGAAAAGAAAGAGAAATAAGGGGCACGCCCTAAGCTTTGTGAAAGGGGGGGCACACCCCAAGCTTTGTGAAAAGGGGGGTAGGGTACCATACTAGGTATTGAGACCTAGCCTACTATTCTAGGTATTGAGACCTAGCATGGCCTACCATGCTAGGCATTGAGACCTAGGGTACTATACTAGGTATTGAGACTTAGTCTTCCATACTAGGTATTGAAGCCTAGTACACCATGCTTAGGCATTGAGGCCTAGCCTTGTAATTGTTCCACCATTGCTCTCTGATTTAAAAGGGTTGATAGCCCGAGGTTTCCCATACATTAAAAGATCAAAAAAAGACCTTGATCCCGTGCGCCATCAAAGGAGGAGACCCGGAGTTGGGTGTGTAAAGTCCAGTTGAGGTAATCTTCTGGCAATTTATTTTTTGTTTATGCAGTCATGTGTTTCATGATCCCAAGTCCAAGTTTATGCAATTTTGTTTATGTAATAAAGAGTTGTGAAAATGGAAACAAGTGAGTCCTTGGGATTCCTTTTGTTTTATTTTTTCTCATTATTTATTTAGACATCTGTAAGTAATCCAGGTGGTGAAAATAAAGAAAAGAAAGAAAAATTTTAATCAATATACACTTACCCAGCTTACATAGTCCAACTTTCAAGTCTAACTACAAAAACTCACCTACAAATAAGCTTAGGATGGAACCTACCAAGTCTTTTCAAGGACTCAAGGCTTCAAAAAATGCTAGGCGGCCCCTAGGCAGCCTACTTGGCGCCCAGCGCCTAGGCGGGCATCCAAAACCTCGAGCGCCCCGTAGTTTTAAAAAAACGAGAAACGCCTAGGTGCCCGCCCAGGTACATCCGCCCAAGGCGCCCGCCTAGCCTGCCTAGGCGCCCGCTTAGGCACTCGCCCAGGTACATCCTCCCGTGAAGGGCTGCCTGAGTTTAAGCGGGCGGATTTTTGGTCTAGGCCGCCTAGGCGCCAGGCAGACCATTTTTTAAAACATTGCAAGGACTTGAGCAAGATCACAAGAAATGGAAAAAACACTTACATATGTTCAGAGCTAAAAGTTGTATATTTCTATTATCTATTGATAGAATCACTTTTGCTTCAAAAAAAAAAATTTAAAACTAAGGACATTGGGAGTCCATCACTTGTCACTAATATACAATCGAATATGTTTTAGCTAAGTTTAAAAGCTTTATATTCTAAAGCATCCATCCAAAGTTCTAACTTTGTGTTGACACCGCCTCTAGTCTCATTAATCAAAACTAAGTGATCCACAAACAATATGCATCGCGGTACCTCATCATGTAAGTGCCTAATTAACTCTTCCATAACTAAAATAAAAAGATATAGGCTTACACTAGCCCGTGATGTAGGCCGGTTGTCATCGAAAACTCACTTGTCTCTCCACTAGTTGTCCTCACACTAGTTAGCGCTCCCTCGTACATCTCTCACTACATCGATATATCCTCTAAAGATCCTTTCTTTTCCAACATCCACCAAATTAAGTCCCTAAGTACCTTATCGTATGCTTTCTCTAAATCAATAAAGATCATGTTGAGGCCTCTCCCCTTCTC